CGAAACAATTCGGCACCACAAAAGTCGAGGAAATGCACCCAAAGCCTATCTTTGCAATGCATTCTGGAATTACCACAAGTTAGCGTTGTGTTTTTGGAAGTGTACCGAAACTAGCACTATCTCTCGGACGATGCGTGAACTTTTTGTGGAAAAACGGCAATACACCTTGACGATAACCGGAGCGCGGATACTCAGCCTAAGTTACCTTTATGCCATTCTCAGAGTCCGGTGCGAAAGGTCCCCCCTTAAAAAAGGCTCGCTGGCATTCCATAAGTCATTCGCCTAGGTCGCCCCCACCAGGCGTTGGCGAGGTGGGACGGTGTGGGGCGAGGCGAGGCGGGGCGGGGTGAGGCGGGGTGAGGCGGGGCGAGCCGCACGCCAGAGAAAGGGCAACGTCCCTTCGCGTTGCCCCGCGCGGCGTGGAGCGGCGCGGCGGGGAGGTGCGGCGCGGTCCTGAGTACAGCCTCCGCGTCCCGGAGCAGCACGGAGCAGCCTCCAGCTGCGCCCGCCGCGCCGAGCAACGGACGCGTCAAACACATCTGCGAACTCATGTCAGGACGGCCCCGCCCGGCCCCACCCAGCCCTGTCCGCTAGCCGCGTGGGTGTCTTGCGCTGCGCTCCTCTGCCCTGCGCCGCCAGCCGCCCTACATTCCCGCGGGGGATAGACTCCCCGCACCCCACCTCGAGCAGAGTCCCCCGCGGCAGCATTCCTAGTAGACGTCCATATAACTGCAGTCCGGTTTCCGCACGCGGCTCCCCCGGCCAGCCCGGGGCTGGGCTCCTCAATAAAGACCAGAGCGGGTTCAAAAACGGTGTCGTGTGCGCACCGTGCGCACCGCAGTCCCGCCCGCGGTCACGGCCGCGCCTCCCCCGGGGTTACTGCTGTGGTAGACGGGGCACTCCCGAGGGCACTCCTTGGGGGCTGTGCCCAAACCACGTGACCTTAGTGGGAAGTACAAGTATTGTGGGGTCCCAAAAGAGTCAGGATGGTCATTAGAGGGCATCTAGGGACCCTATTGTATTTACACCCCGGGGTACAAATATCATCATGGGGGTCCCATCTACTCCAATAGCAGCCCTGATCCTTATGGAGGCTATTTGGACCCCCTCCCTAAATTCACGTAGTTTCCGCACAGCCCCTCCAGGGTGAGGCGGCTGCTGTGCGGTGGCGGTGAAGGAGTCCCGTCGATGGCGTTCACACATATTCACGAGACACGCTCCACAACCGTGGGGTGTGTCTCTTGTACGGAAACCGCGGCGGGAGACCCCTGCCCCCCTTTCCCCCCCCCCCCCTCCGTGCTCAGTTTGAAACAAGTACCAAACCGACATTCAAACAATGTCTGAACATTAGGGATAACGTGAAAACCAAGTACCGTTCTCCGTTCGGTTTCTAAGGCTAGAACAAATTATTAATAATGATAATAATTATTACACTGTAAACCCAAGTGTGTACCGTACATAGTACACTCTTCCTTCTATGTACTTAAAAGCACACACTTGGAAGTGTGTACTTGCATTAGCGCTACGCTGTGGCGCCTACACACTAAGAAGTGTGTGCCACGCATGTACACACTTGCTTGTGTGTGCTTTCAAGTACACATAAGGAAGAGAGTACTATGTACACACTTTGGTTTACAGTGTCTTTATAATTTATTAAGGATTGCAGGATTGGGCGCAGCCCATTCGGGCGTGAAATTAACGCCCTGACCCCCAACGTGGAGTTCGTCCGGGAAGCAGAGGGGTGATAATGACGCACCGGAGGAGCACGCCGAGGACTCATCACGACGGGGCACGACACGACTCTCGCGGGCGCACCGCTCTCAGGTGCTCTCAGGCTCAGCTCGGCGGCAGCGGCGGGTGCACTCCGCTGCAGGCGGGTCATTAAGTGCATGCGACACATGCGACCCCAGCTCAACCTGAACCTGAACCCCGGGGGGTCGTTGCCACCGCCACCGCCGCCGCACAAGTTATGCACAGGACGATATTAATTTTGGTTCTCTTTCGACGTCTTTTAGGCAGTCGTGAAGACAGTCTCTTTTAAAATTATCATTTTACAATGGGTCCTAAGAGAAGGTCGTTCCTGCCGTTTGGTAATCCCCTCCCCGTACCCCTTCCTAGCCCGCCTAAAGCGTATAGAGACCCCAAAACGATGTCGAGCCCCAAGGTCTGCGTCGGCCTCAAGGCAAAAGAGACAATGGTTAAATGTTTAACGCAGGTAACACCTTTCCGGTTTGAGGAACGAGACCATTGCGTCTGAATCGTTCCGTTTTCCAGATTCGGACTAGTTTGGGGGCCGCGCGCAACCCAGTCTGTCAACTCACCACCGCCCCCTCGAGCTGCTCGTCCTCCACGATGGCGAACACCTCTAGGTCCTTGAGGTCGACCTGCACGTTGACGCTGCCGTTCTGCCGCTGGTCGAAGCGGACGGGTGAGGCTGCCGCCAGAGCCAGGCCCAGCAGCAGCGGGGACAGGCAGGACAAGGTCCTGGAGGTCCTGGAGGACGGGCGGCGCGGTGCGGACGCCATCTCGAGGTGCTGCTGGCCTTGGGAGCGACCGGAGCGGGAGGAGACCCTGGACGCCACTGGAAGCTCCAGGCGCGCTCCGGGTTCCAGGGCCCGGCAGTGCAGTGCCCGACCCATCCCCGCCCGGCCCCGCGCGCACCGCCGAGTACCGCTAGCTGATTCCGCACCACGCATAGAGGAGGGGCGGGACGGGGCGGCGGCGCCAGGCAAAGTCTGGCCGGAAAGTTCACCTCCCGTCTTCGGTGGAGAGACCCGTGAAAGTTATGTGTTTGGGCTTTGGGACCCGTAATAAGTCAAACGATTGTGAGGAAACTTGGAGAAGTTTTTACGGTCAGGCGGTCTACTTATACGATACGCTACCACCCCCAGTATCCGTCTCCTTCGGCCTCTGCTGCCTGTCATGATTCAGTGAGGGAGTTGGCGGGCAAAACACCGAAACAGTTCTCTTGTAGGGGGTTGTTAAAAGTCTTGGTTTATTTTAAGAATAGCTATTGTCATCTTTCATACATGTCTTTTCCCCAAGGTTCAAAACTCACTATACTTAAAACATGCAACTCATTAGAACGGGATAAAATTGACAAAAGGAAGGGGGAAAATCATTAGGTACATGGGTAAATACAGGAGAAATCGTGTACTTTCTTATTCTCTCCCTCTTCTTATCTAGCTCTTCACAAAACTTCAATATCACATTTCTTTAGTTCACAGTTGTACATAAGATCTTTAGGGGTAGTCCCTCAAGAAAAGAAAAAAGCTGTGGAACATTTGTTGAGTTTAGGAATATCTGTTATTTATTATAACAGCCTAGAGATCCAGCTTGAACTGATTTATTATTATTCCAGGTGTAAAAATTACCTTGAGCAAGATCAAGTTTATTAACACCTTGAGTCCTAAATGACCATAAATATGGCCATAATAGCACATACAAGTGGGACCTGTCCTCCTCCCTAGGACTCAAGGTGTTAAGCCACAATCGGCAGAAAGCTAAAAGATGGTAAAAAACATGTCTTTTAATATTTAAAAATTAATTTAAATATTTTGAGAACACAAACTTGCTAAGAAAGTATCCATTGAATAAGTCTGGTTGATCCGGTTCAAAAAGGAGAACAATAATAAAAAATTGATAACACACTCAAATTTCTACTAAAATTGTATGCCTGAAATCACAGATGCATCATAATTAAAATCAACAGAGTTACAGCACTAAAATATCAATCTACTATTACTACAACACACAGAATTAAGGATTGTACTTCTTACATAACGATGATATAACATAGCTTCTGCATGAGTATGACTTTGGACCCATTTCTACAATTGAGTACGGCATTTCACAGATAAAAACCAAGTCATTTCATTTGGCACAAAGTAGGTTAACACAGAATAAGTAGCAAAAAAAAAGCTTTCAAAATTCCTCCGAGTATACATCTTAAACATCAATCTGAACTTTAGTTTTTTTTTGTATTTACCAAAAGTTTACCAGCAAAAGTTCCTTTGCACCGATCAGCACCATTTGACAAACACATAGGAAGATGTACGCCATAATCTACCTTGTGCCACATCGTACATATACACATACTTTACCTACTTGTTACTAATTTTTCCACAAGAAGATGAAGAAGGTATTATTAATTTTCAAACCATAAAGGCAAAATATTGAGCCATTAAATTTTGGAAGAAAGGTAAAGAGCACACAATTTGGTTATGAGAATGACATCAGAATATAGATCATGCACTAACCAGGATGCTCAAAAAAGACATAGGAAATTATCTAATGAGGACTTAAATATTTATGTAACCATTAAAAACAAGAACTTTTAAAGGAAAAACACACTACATATCAATGCAAGAGACTTGTTAAGAAAATTCTCACAGGACATCTTGACATCTTGAATCTAGTCCAATGTTTTCTTTGTATCACTGTTAACACTCAAGTCCAATCACAAAAAGTGGCTTTAAAGTTTTCACTTATCAACAACTTTTCAACAATTCAATTTGCTTGTAAAAAATATTACCTTTGTGGAGGGATAACAATTTAGAGTGAATTTTACATATACAGTGGTAATTCCAGATATGAATATGTTACACAATTTCATTTTCTTTGCACTTTCTTTGAACTTCAAAAATTCAGATACATTTACTCAATTTTAAATATGAAATATTGGCTAGTGGTGCAAGATTAGGTACTATTGATAAGATTCCTGCTGGAAAACTAGATCAATGGCTTTGCATACATTTTGAACAGTGAAGTTCGGTTCTCTTAACTTCTCTTCAACAGGAAGGAAGTCACGTGGTGTGTGGTCCAGCAAGCTCTCTTCACGGTCAACAGAGTATACTCCAGTCTGCAAAAATTGAAATTCTCAATTAATAGAAAGGTAACAATGATGAAATTTAGAAAGCAACAACAGTTATAATTAAAGAATACCTCGACGAGAATACTCAAACAGTTCTCTGCTCCCATATCCCAATCACTGGGGTCTGCCTGAAGATGATGTTCAATAGTTCGTGTTCGAGCAACTTGTTTCATACGTCCACTAGCTTTGCGTTGTGAGAGGTACTGATTATACAGATTCGCACCAAATACATCAGTGTTTATGTTGTCACTGAAAAGAAGATAAACAGTTCCTTTAAAGTTAAAAAATAAATATAAAAGTACATTCTTTTTTTCTTTTTCTTTTGTTACATACCCAATAGCATAAAGTCTTTTCAAATTATGGTTGATACCAATTGATTGGGCTTGATTAAGCACCATGTGGTGTGCATGATGATAAGTAATTTCACTAGGTTTGCCAATCAATGCAGTGTATATTAGATCTTTACCAGTAATTTTCTTGTAAAGGGCTTCTAAACAAAGCAAGAAAGCTCCATGTCCATACCTGAATGAAAAATGAGATTTAAGCTAGGTAAATGTCTCTATGTAAGAAAACCATATTCTTAGGTAAAACAACAACATGAATACTAACCTGGGCATGCATGCCTCAGCCATCCACTGAAGGTCCATATTGCATGCTAGCACAGGAATATGAGGATACAATATCCCTGGAGGAGCAACAGCTGGATAGCCATTGGACATCAAGACATCCATGATCAACTGCAATGATGTTTCCCACCTAACTGGCTCTCCAAACAATACTACCGCTTCAACTGGCACAAACGATTTTTCATTGGGACCTGCCTAAAAGATTAGAAAACAATTAAAACTAGACTTATTTCATATTTCAAAGGTTAATTGATTTTAAAGATAAATTCCTACTTACACCAGAAATGCGTCGAGCATGGTCTACAGCATCCAAAGTTGGGAATGTTTTCCTTAGTTCATCAACAGTTACAATATTATGAAATCCAACATTCCTGGCTATGTCGGCTACTGGTCCCTGACCAGACACAAGGACTCGTTTGTCATGGAATTGATGGAACATTCGCAGAGGAGAATGAGCCATAACAACTTGATCCTCATGCACCTGCAATGACAATCACAAATCTAGAGTTACGCATCCTTCCCAAAAAGATATATTTGAAATTTTGAGTTTTTCCTCTGAACAATACCTTGACACCAAGCCAATTTGTGAGCTGAATAGCCCTATCATGTCTGAGAGCATTTCCAGCATTGGTTACAAACACAGTTGGAATTCTGAATGTTCCATTTTTATCAACCAACTTCTGGAAAGATTCTGGAACAGATGGAAGAACTTTCTTGCCTCGTACAATCACCCCATCAATGTCGAAGAGCAGCCCAAACTCAGGTTGGTTTGCCTAAGAAATAATAAATAGAAAATTTCAACGTAAACATTTTGTCCTTGACACGATGAATAAAGTGATCCTATAACAAACTTTAAAAAATAACAGATAATGAAATACATGAAATTTAAAATCACAGAGACAGTCCATTTCCTTCAACCTACAATGAAAGAGGCTAAAGATTGTCAAAATAAGCTGTCAGTGAAAATAGAATTCTAATGAACATTTTCTGAAGAAAGGTTATGAAACTGCAACGAAATATAGAAGTAAAATAACATGGCCCTGCTGTGTGCTTTCAGTTATCAAAAAAATACCTTTGTTCCAAAGAATTTGGTGGACTGAGAAGAAAATACATCAGAACAAAGTTTTAGCAAATTTGAACGAGGAAATCTGGCTGTTTTACCCTTCCACATAAGGGCAGCCATTTTTAAACGTCAGTTCTTGACGTTTGAACTAGCAGAAGAGTCTGGCATATGACAGGGTTGGCGGACCCCTCCCGATAGATGGGTAGATGGAGGGTCCCGCCGCCCGCCACCGCTGCTGCTCTGAGCGCCAAAGTCCAAGCCAAAAGCTAAAGCTACCACTCAACAAGTCTCAAGTTTTATTTAATGGATGTGTTCGGCATTTATAAGAAAAGTCTATATTTGCTAAGGATATTTCAGGATCGGCGAATCTTCCAAATAAATACATAGGCACCGGTACTAAAACAAAAACATCTGTATAGATGAGACTTTAAAAACCAAAAACACCACAAATTTATTTGTAAACATTTTTTTTTTCAAGGAACATAGAACATTTTTGGAACGAAGTTAATCTAATAAACATAAAAGATGTACGAGATTTATATTTGTAATACTATTGCTTACCGTCATGAGCTTTAGTTCCGAAAGTTACGTGTCAGATTGTGCCTTTTAAATAATTAATTACTGCACCTCTGTTCTTCTCACCCATTGTGTGCAATGTGTAATATTTTGGAAAATGGTTTATTTAATGTATATATTTTCCGTTTCCCTGCTCTATCTTTTAAAAACATTGAAATTTTCCTCTCTATGTCCATGTTCAGGATCAAGTTTATGAGCTCTATGAGTCATATGACATTGCTTACCCTTTGCGACAAAGAAAAAAACTTCTTATAAGTAAAAGTTATCCGTTAAAAGTTGGAGTTATAGAATGTACCATGTATTGGTTCGACTCTTGACAGAGTTATTTTATTGATGTATGACAACAAGGAACGTAAAATGAAATGCCAAGCTGAATGAATATGTCTTGTTCAAAACTAAAAAATACTTTTCTGAGCAATGAAAGTAGAGTTGCAAATTAGTTGCGCTATCATGTTATGAAAAGTGGTGAGTTAAATGCAACTAACCAGTAACTCGGGAGCAGATTTAGATATTTAAATCTTATACACAGTAGCACTTCTTGTATTTTATTTTTTCAAGACAAGCAAAGATCAGCATCAACACTTTTTGATTTTGATCTTCCCAGCCCATATTTATTTGGATTGGCAACAAATATACATTGTGCACAAATAATCCCTTGACATTGGAATATCCTTTGCAGTTGAAAACATTAAGCAAAAATGCCAAACAAATTCATGAAATAAAATTTGAGTGCTCGGTTAGCTGTATGTATTACGAGACTTGGAAGAGTGAGGAGGCCGCCAGGCCGCGCCGCAGCGGATCCTCCATCTCTACCCATCTATCGGGAGGGGTCCGCCAACCCTGTCATATGCCAGACTCCTAGCAGAAGCACACGAGGCAGCAAAGGCATAATGCAGCAGGCAGTGACTTTACCAGAGTATGAGAACTTTATCAAGAAGAATCCTCATGCAGGAAGACGAATGAATGAAATGCGAAAATACAGGTAGGAATGAATAATGGATGAGTACAGTAACAGCAGTGAACGCCGTCTACTCGGATTTCCTTCGCACTCTCTCCTCTACCTCACTAAAATTCTTTTCGAGGCAGGCAAATTTCAGGTCACAGCACATCACAAAGTGCATTTCGTCTGCTAAAATAATTTGGTATCATGGTATTATCTGGTATAGGTCACACTCCTGGATGAATTTCTGACAAGACTGGTAATATTAATATTTTTTCATGTGATGTAGCATAGAAGGTCATTGAAGTTTTGTTTCAACGTATAGAAACGAAGATCACCTGATCTCATGGTCAGAGTCAAATTTGCGCTGCAGCTTCTTCCCCGCGCACCGGAAGTCATCCGTAGATTCAGAACACTCGTTTCCGGCAAAAAAAGTGCGGATATTTTGTTACTACCGTGTTCACACTAACAAGAAAAATAATCTTGTTTGTTTCTAGTTTGAGAATCTCTCAACCCAATTAATGCGATTCGTGTGGCTATTTAAAGCCAGTAATATACCTACTTTGTCGATCTTCATTCAACCTGTAAGACATTTTTTGCGAACGCAGCATGTGCTGGCACTCAAAATTGTCTTTAAATTGTTATTTGAGATTACCATAGAACGTTAGTGCTCAAAATCATTAGCTTTCCAAATTTTTATTATTGGAATTGTATGAGGAGTACTGACTGAGAGAAATTTCACTTTATGTCTAGCTGTGGGTTTGTGCAGCAGGTAAACATAACCTTTGCCTGCAAAATGTCAATATCTTAAATACATTCAACCCTTTCATTTGCTAATGCGCGCATGACCACAAAAATTTTATGAATATATTTTTGCCTGAAGCAAAAATGCTTTTTTGTGATTTTGACCTTCAGGGTTAGGCTGTCTTGTTTGCACTTCCTAGCGAGTTCAAACCCACAACTCGTCGACTTTGTGGAGGTTATGTTAGTGCGTCGGTTTCATGTAAACAAACTTGTCAAACGATTGCTTTTTGACTAGTATATCCCAGTTTTGTGCATCAATCCATTGTAAAACATTAGTTTTGTTTCAATCATGGTATTGTTGTTTAGTTTTCAATTACTCTTGTGACATTTTCTTCCCGAGCATCAGTAATTGAAATTCTCCGATTTGATGCTATGTTTAGCTGCTTGTTTTGCCTCAATTCATATGTAACTTTGTTCATCTTCTCTATGAGTACTTTGCCTAGCTGTAGTATTATTGTCACACTACTCACTAGACATGACTTATTTATCATGTCAAAACCATAGTCGTATGGAAGTAATTTTTTATCTCTCACTAGCTAATAGCTTATTAAATCATTGTTTATATTTTCAGTTTTATGGTTTCTGATAATTTAATTATTGTTTGTGTTTTGTCTTGTAGTTGGTGAGCCTCATGGTTTAAAGTTCAACAATGGCTGGGATGTGGAGCTGATAGCGAACTTGACCACAGGATGGGCATAGAATGTGGCCCGAAGACACTGTGGAAGATGAGCCAAGCTCAAGCTCACAGCAGTCTATTCCACACAGGTGAGCAGTAATTTTTTATCTTTCTTATTTTGTCTTTTAATGACACATTTGTTGAAATGTTGTGTTTGTGATGCTGAATGCTCGTCTTTGTATTGCTGATATTGCAGGCCAGAAGCTCAACCTAGAGTAGGTGTTGGACAAGGCAGTGATGGGGATGTTGGGGAGTTGAGGGAGAATGCGCTTTATCAAGCCATTCAACCCTACACCCCAACAGCCCAGGGTGAGATTGCTTTGCTCCAGGATGATACAGTAAGAATTATAAGGATCTGCCCACAAGGCTGGGTCAAAGCACTTAACACAAGAACTCGTGATTCTGGATTTATACCAGGCAAGTGCATTTTCATCACCTCATTTTAAGTTAAAATATGAATATTCTGAAGTACAATGAGAAAAACTAATAAGCCCTCCTCTTTGCATAGTTGCAACACTGAAACTTGTTCCAGCGGCGGAACCAACATGGAGAAACCCATTACCTCCACCAGATATAGTGCCCCATAATGGCCCAGGTAATTCAATAACGTTCTTACTAACTACATTCTTTTTTGTTATAAAGAAGCTCTCCGTATCTGAAATTAATTAAATCTGATTATTATTTGTAGACTATGTTCAATATACTCCACAAGTACCACCAAAAGGTGGCTCTTTATCATCTGCTGCACCCATACATGATCCATTTTATGTAGATTTGATGAAAAAGGAGAGAGAGGAGACTGGTCAAGGTGCGTAAAATGAATTAAGGGTACAACTCTAAATTTGTAGATAGTGTATCATGCTCGTGGTATTTTTTATTACTTTTTCTATCAATGATTTTTTTTTCCTTCTCTAGGAGATCTCCAAGGTCATCCCCATAGACTGGTTGACGTGTTTTTTGAGACACCAATCCTCTGCAAACTCTGTGAGTACAAAAGTATCTAATTTATTATAACTATTTAATCTGAGGAGACATGATGCCACTTTCTAGAAAGTTTCACAAAGGAAGCAGTTGTCAGTAAAAGATTAGACTGCGCAGAATTAAAAGAAAAAAGAAAGGAAAAAATGAAGAAAGAAAAAAGCTGCACCTGTCAGGAAAAATGGCACACTATCAGGCATTTTGCACGCAGTTCTCTGCCACTATACTGCTCATGTTTTCTCATCGCTCATACACGAAACGTGGGGCGAAAATTTTGCTAGGCACCGCGCTAATTTACTGCCCATGGAAGAAGCGCCTTTCATGACCCGATCTCTGACCCCAGTCGGCCGAAGTTCAAGACGAGAGAGGGAGGGAGGGAGGTGAGGGGGCGGAGTGGGGGCTGTACGGGGTCGGGTGGGGCTGGCCGACTGAACTGCACCTGCCCCGCTTGCTGCTACAGTCGGTGTGAGTCAGTGGCGTGGCGTGACCTGGGCTCGCCGTGTTCAGAGAGGTGTGCGCAGTGCCGCTACAGGAGCCCATGCCCCCCCCCCTCTCTTCCCCCCTTTCCTTCACCCCGCCGCCCGCGACCCGACCTCCGACAATGTTGGCTGTCACTGATTACAGTTTGGCGGCCGGCTGACCATAGGCTGACGGGGCAGAAGCCTCGCGGCTTAGCGGGGGGAGGGGGGGGGGAGCAGGAAGGGGGTGTCGGGTCATCCTTATCCGAGCCATCGATAAGGACGTAACGGGCGGCGAGATTGACTGATTGGTCACGCGGGTTAGGCGCGGCGGAGGCCTTGTGGCAGCAAGGGAGGGGAAAATTCCCTCGAAACGACTGCACAACTGTTCGACCGATAACAGGAGAGGAACTAATATGCACAGCACACGGCCGATTGCACCACCGCGCCACCCCGGCCGGCCCCGCGCCGCCCGAGCGCTGCCCAAAGTCATCCACCACGCCACTATCAGCGCCCCCAAGTACTCGGTGACATTCGCACGGACGGCCACGGGGCGCGCGCCCCTCTTTGCCGCCGTGCCTTGGCAGTGTATTTTAGTCTGCCCTGGCCGTCGTCATTTCGCGCCGGGCGGAAGTTTTCCGATTTCCGGTCGTCTTTTCGCGGGGAAGGGCCGGGGGAGCCCTGGAGGAGGAAAAGGAGAAGGAAATTTAAGGTCAACAGATCCGGCGGCAGCGGCGCGCTGCAAGTCCTGGTATTTATGTTGGCGAAAGCACCCTCTTCCTCCCCTCTGGCCGTTTGGGAGAGGCTTCCTCTCTTACCCCGGCGCTGCTGCTCCGCGCTGCTCTACTACTGCCCGGGCTGATGACGGAAGGGGAAAGGGGAAGGCCAGGAGGCCACATTGTGAGCTCCTTCCAACCCCCTCCTCCCGCGTCCGACCAAATACCAACGTAACTCATATTGGGGGAAGAAGATTGGGAGGGAGACGG